GATGCACAGACATACATACAGACACACAGATGCACAGACACACACATACAGACACACAGACACTCACAGACACAGACGCACACAGATGCGCAGACACACAGACACACACATACAGACACATAGACACTCACAGACACACACGGACACAGACACACACAGACACAGACACACACAGATACACAGACACACACACACTCACACAAGCTCAGTGGCCCAGGCATGGCACTTCACCTCTGAACGTGCCCAGCAGAGCAGCTGCTGACCGGTGTTGCCAGAGGGCATCTCCTCACTGGGACAGCCCTCCCCTAACGGAGTCGTCTGGGCCTCTCTGTAGCTGCCTCCTCTCCACTCACTGCAGGTGGTACAGTTCAGGCCTAATTAAGGCCAAATACCTTGTAGTACCTGAGCTGCCAGGGCCCAGCCCAGGCCTGTCTTTCTCAAGTGGGAGCAACAGAGTTCTCTGACGCAGACCCCCGGACCAACGCACTCTTGCTCACCCGCCATTCACACACTCCCAGCTGAGAGAGAGCAGGCCGGAGGATAAACAGGGGCCCGAAGTTGCGGTCCAGGCTCTGGCCATGGTCTCTGCCCCACCGAGCCACTGAGATTCTACACTCCTTACGCACAGACCCTGTTAAAAGCTGGTCCAAGAGCTGCACTCTAAAGCCGCTGCGGGTGCTGGGCCCTCAGACGAGCGCTCATAACGAGGAGGCCTGAGCAGGGCCGCCAGCAGGGGGTCGCACACACCTGGCAGCTGCTCTGACAGTCCAGCAGGTCGTTGCTGATGTAGGCCTGCAGCACGGTCTCCCTTTGTTCTCCAGGATGAGACGTGGTCAGACGCTAGCAAGGAAGAGAAGAAGAAAGGACAAATCCAAAAGTCATTCGTTCACATGGTGGAAAGGGCCTAGGCCAGAGGGAAAAAAATCAATCACTATGCACTTATTAGGTGCCTACTGTGTGCTAGGCAGGCTTGGCGGGGGGCAAAGATGAAAGAGAAACGTCTACCCTCAAGGAGCTTGCACTCTAACAGGGCCCCATGTTCCACAGAAAAACCAAGAGAGCCATCACCAGGCAGCCAGGGAGGGAGCACCAGGGCCACTGGGGCTGGGAGGGAGGGGACACGCAACGGCGAAGCAGGGAAGTGCCCGCCACGTGTGTTCCGAGGACGGTGAGAAGCCAGACTGCTTGGAATCAAGTGTGCACAGAGTACCAGGATGCCAGGCTCCAGGCCTGCATCCCACTCCCTGGCATCTCCACCTCCATGGCCTCTACTTGGCCTCCGTCCTCTCCCTCTCCCCATCAGAAGCTTGGACCATGCCCCTGGACTCCTAGGTCTGATGGTTTTCCCCTTATCTTAGAGGCAGCTGTGACACAGTCAAGAGAGCAATGAACCTGGGGTCAAGGAGACCTGAGTTCAAATCTGACTTCTAGCACTTACTAGCTGAGTGACCCTGGGCAAGTCACTTTACGGTTATCTGCCTCAGTTCCTCATCTGTAAAATGGGGATGACAATTGCACCTACGTCCCAGGGTTGTAAGGATGAAATGGGATAATGTTTATATGTTTGCCAACCTTAAAGCATTATGTAAAGACTAGTCATATTATCGTTCTGGTTGTTATGATGATGATACTGGGATTCAGGCCTCTATCTCCAGGCTGTTCCCCTCCCTGCCTAGCTCCCCTTATGTGTTATCTTTCCTCCCTCTCTCTCCCCCACCCCCCAACATCTGGCCAGACAGCAGCTTTCTACGATTTATCTACCAGAAGCTGGTGCTGAAAGAGTAGGCCGGGTCTGGGCTGTGGAAAGCCTTGAACTGTCTCACAAGGAAGGTTTCCTTTCAATGGCACCTTCAAAGTTGAAACATCAGCCTTAGGTGCAGAGAGCACCAGCACCCACGGGCCCCTGGCCACAATGGTCTCTAACTGCAGGAAAAGTCCCTAAGGAGACAAAGCCTGCCAGTGGCTGCCCCTTCCAGCCTCAAGTGACCTGGGGACAGTAAATGCACCGCTGGCTGGTAGGGGGTCTTCTGGCCCTATGGCATCTATGTGCTATTAGCAGGGGGCTTTCTATACAGAAGGCACTTAATAACTGAAGGGTCATCAAGATTCATTTCCAAAAGGGCATTCACTGCTTTCTATTTTCTACCACGAGTTAGCTCCTGTCAACTGGCAGGAGAAAACCACACGCCCACTTTAAAGACATGGGCCCAGTGAGGACCAGGAAGAGGCCTGCTCCTTTCTGGCTCCAGGGCCCAGTGTGCACCTACCCATCGCAGAGCCTGCAGCAAAAAGGCCTTCAATCGGTCGTTCCCAAAGGTCAGATCTTTCTTCAGTTTCTCATAATCCAGGGAGGGCAGCAGTGGGATTTCCTTCAGCTTCCTGCTCAACACAAGATGGAAGGAAAAGGAAAAAGTGGCCTTGGTTAGTGATCCCTGCATTTCAAGGGGGAGGGCTGGTGGTGGGCACCTGGCCCTCCAACATCGCCGCTTCGGGGCCATTCAGCCTCTGCTCCAAGACTCCCCCTTACCTGGGAGGAAGCGTTCCCCTGGTCAGGCCTGAACTGGATCAGCCCTTGTACTCTTTCCCCCACACTGAGACCAAACAGGACACGCTGAATCCCTCCTCCACAAAGCAGCCCTTCAGAAACCACGCTGACCCTTCTGCCTCAGCCATCTTCTCTTCTCCTGGCTAAGCCTCCATCCTCCTGTGACGTGGACTCAAGGCCCTGCCCGGCCTGGCTGCCCTCCGCTGGGTCCTCTCCAGCTTATCACTGTCCCTCCTAAACCCCAGGCCCCACACTGTTACCAGCCGCAGCTCATGGTTGGTCCTACAGAACAGAAGGGGCCGCAGACCTGGGCAGCTTCACTGGTCTCTACCAACAATAATAACTAGCAGACGGAGCACTTCACAAATGTTATCTCACTCAGATGAGCAAAACAATCCTGGGAGAAACATACTATTATTATCCCCATTGCACAGGGGAGGAAACTGAGGCAGGCAGCATCTGAGTGATCTGTCCAGGGTCATACAACTAGTATCTGAGGCAGTACCTGAATTCAATCTTCCTGACTCCACGGTCAGCACTCTATCTACCCATCATAACTTGAAAATGTTGACTGACTGCTGATACAGGGAGAGGATGGTTCAAAAGCTGACCTTTCTGATACTTTCCCATCTCCTGAAATGCCTGGCCATGGCCTCCAGTGATCGATCATATGGTGACTGGCACAGATCTGCCCCTTCAGAAACAACAAGGTCCACTTTTCAACTCAGGGAGGGAGCAAAGAGCTCCAGAAACATTTTGAATAATGTTAACATATTGTAAAACATATCTTACTGGAAAGGTATATTGCCTTCCATGGGGATTTTAAAAAATTCTTTTGGTCTCTCATATTATTTTTTAAATTCTGTTTTCCAAATTCTCTTCCTCTCCCTTCTCCACCTATTTAGGAAGTAAGAAAAACAAAGCCTATTTCAAAAATGTATAATCACGTGCAAGGGAAGAATGGAGAGAAGAAAATATGCTTCAATTTGTACCCTGAATTAAAAATAAAATCTTAAAAAATTTGTTCTCTGAGTTTATCAGGAGGTGGGCAGCATGTTTCATCACGAGTCCTTTGGAATTGGGGTAGATCACTGTGTTGCTCAGAATTACTAACTCTTTCACAGTTGATGAGCATTACAATATTACTGTTCCTGTTCCAGTATCAGTGGTCTCCTGCTTCTGCTCTGTTTTGCATCAGTTTCCAGGTTTTTCCCAGGATATCACCACCCTCGTCATTTCTCATTAGTACGATGGTTTTCCATCACAATCGTATAACACAACTTGTTTAGCCATTCCGCAATTAATGGGCTCCTTCTCAGTTTCTAATTCTTTGCCACCACAACAAGAGCTGCTATAAATGTTTTTCTACATTTAGGTCCTTTTCCTTTTTCTTTGATCTCTTTGGGATACAGACCTCCTGCTGGGTCAAAGGGTATACACAGCCAAATTTGTATTATTTTAGAAATAAGAAATTTATCAGAGATACTTGCTACAAAAATTTCCTCTCATTTCCTGCTTTGCTTATAAAGTTAGATGCATTGGTTTTGTCTGTGCAAAAACTTTTTCGTTTTATGTAATCAAAATTATCCATTTTATTCCTGTGAACCACTCAATATCTGGTTTGGTCGTGAATTCCTCCCCTACCTATGGATCTAACAGGTAATTTCTTTTACGCTCCCTTTGTTTGCTTTTATCACCCTTTTTGTCTAAATCAGGGTAGGGAATCTGCTGCCTTGAGGCCACATGTAGCCTTCTAGGTCCTCAGGTATGGCCCTCTGACTGAATCCAAACTTCACAGAACAAGTCCCCTCTGTAAAACTTGGACTCAGTCAAAGGGCCACACCCGAGGACCTAGAAGGCCACATGTGGCCTCAAGGCCACAGGTTCCCCACCCCAATCTAAATCATGTACCCATCTTAACCTGATCATGAAACGCCTCATTTATGTTAGACTACTTTCCAGTTTTCCCAAAAGTTTTTGTCAAAAAGTGAGTTTTTGCCCCAATAGCTGAGATCTTTGAGTTTATCACACACTAACTAGATTACCTAATATATCCCACAGATTAGTCTATTTCTTACCCAGTAACAGTATTTTGATGATTACCCCTTTGTAATATAGTTTGGGATCTGCTACTCCTAGGCCCCTTTCCTTCTCATTGTTTTTTCATTGATTCCCTTGATATTCTTAACCTTCTGTTCTTCCAGATGAATTTTGTTATTTTTTCTAGCTTTATAAAGTAATTCTTTGGTAGTTTGGCATTGAATAAGAAAATTAATTTATGTATTATTCTCATTTTTTATTATATCAGTTCAGTCCACCATGAGCAATTAATATTTCTTCAATTATTTAGATCTGTAGTTGTGTAAAGAGTGTCTCATAATTGTGTTTATGTAGTTCTGGCATGTGTCTTAGTAGGTAGATTCCCAAGCATTTTATACTGTCCACAGTTATTTTAAATGGAATTTTTCTATTTCTTCCTGCCAGATTTTGTTGGTAATCTATAAAAAGGCTGATGATTTCTATGGGTTTATTTTATATCCTGCAAGTCCACTGATGTTAATTGTTTCAATTAGTTTTTTAGTTGATTCTCTAGGGTTTTCTAAGTAAACTATCATACTGTCAGCAAAAAGTGATACTTGTGTTTCCTAATGGCCGATGCCATGATTTCTTCCATTTCTTTTTCTTGTCTTATAGCTATTGCTAGCATTCCTTGCACAAAACTGACCGTAATGGTGATGATGGACACCCTTGCTTCTCCCCAGATCTTACTGGAAAGGCTTCTGGCTTGTCTCCCATGAGGATTATTTCAAAGAGAACAATGTCTGTTCACAGAGTCATTGAGTCCAGAAGCATGGTAGAGGCACAACCCACAATTTCTAACAGATCAATGAATCTGGGCTCCTATCCACGTGGGTATTCTCTCTCCCATCTACAGTTGCCTATTCTGGGTAACTCTTATTCATGTTTTCTCATAGGTTAGCCAAATTATTCGTGTGATCAGGGGGTGGGGTGACATGGGGGGGGTCCAGCCAACATGCTGGACGCCTACCCTCCTTTGTCTTGACATGAGATGGACACAAATGGAGCACACGGGCTGCCCATTAATTTGCTCCTGGGACCAGCTCCTCTTGTTTTTCTTTGATTGAATCCTTTAAGTCTCTTATCTGTAAATCTGACCTTCATCACCATCGTTCAGTCCCCACCCCATCTCAGAGCAACCCTCCGCTGCTCACTCCAAATCCTGCAGTTTCTATCGCTACAACATGTCTTGTATTTGTCCCCATGGCCACCTAGGTCACATCTTCTTTCCCTCTTCCCTCCCTATTTCAGAAGCCCTCTCCTAAATCCCTCCCTGTGCACGTTGTCCACAGATACATGCCAGTCTGATTACGTCACTTCACTGTTCAATAAGTCCAAAGTCCAAGTCAGCCCTGAGTATCTCTGATAAGCATTTAAAGCCCTTAGCCTGGTCCCAGCCTTCCTTAGAGCCTTATTCTGCAGGGCCCAGGAACATTCTACATGACTACCCTTTAATTCATAGGCAGGTACCAGATCTCAAACTGTATGATTAAGCAGCAATCATCATCAAAACTATCAGCATCAGCTAAGAAATAGAGAGGTGGACCAGGGGAATAAATTAGGTACACAAGACACAGTACTAAATGACCATAGTAACCTAGTGTTTGATAAACCCAAAGACCCCAGGCTCTGGGATAAGAACTCACTGTGACAAAAACTATTGGGAAAACTAGAAAACAGTATGGCAGAAACTAGGTATAGACCAACATCTTACATTGCATACCAAGTTAAGGTCAACCTGAGTACATGATTTAGACTTGAAAGGTGATATCATAGACAAATTAGGAGAGCAAGAAATAGTTTACCTGTCAGATATAAGGAGAAGGGAAGAATTTTTGACCAAATGAAATAGAGAGCATTATGAGATGTAAAATGGATAATTCTGATTAAACTAAAAAAATTTTGTAGAAACAGAACCAATGCAACCAAGATTAGAAGGAAAGCAAAAAGCTGGGAAACAATTTTTGTAAGTGTCTCTGATAAAGGCCTCATTTCTCAAATATATAGAGAACTGAGTCATATTTATAAGAATACAAGTCATTCTCCAATTGATAAATAGTCAATGGATATGAACAGGGTGTTTCAGATGAAGACATCAAAGCTCTCTATAGTCATATAAAAATATTCTAAATCACTATTGATTAGAGAAATGTAAATTAAAACAACTCTGAGCTAACACCTCACACCGATCAGACTGGCTAATAAGACAGAAAAGAAAATGATAAATGTTGGAGAGGATACGGGAAAATTGGGACACTAATGTATTGCTGGTAGAATTACAAAATAATGATCCAAGCATTCTGGGAAGCAATTTGGAACTACGCTCAAAGGACTATAAAACTGTACATAACCTTTGATCCAGGATTATAGTATTAGGTCTTTATGTCAGAGATCATAAAAAAGGGGAAAAGGACCCACATGTATAAAACTATTTATAGCAGCTCTTTTTGTGGTAGCAAAACATCGGATATTGGGGGGATGCCCACGAATTGGGGAATGGTTGAACTACTGTGCAATGAGAAATGATGAGCAGGCAGATTTCAGAAAAGCCTGGAAAGACTTACACGAGCAAAGTGAAATGAGCAGAACCAGAACATTGTACATAGTAACAGAAAAACTGTGTGATGATCGATTCTGAATGACTCAGCTCTTCTCAGCAATGCAATAATCGAAGACAATTCCAGAGGAATCATGATGGAAAATGCCATCCACATCCAGAGAAAGAATTACTGGAAACTGAATGCAGATTGAAGCAGACTATTTTCACTTTCTTTATTTTTTTCGTGGTTTTTTCCTTTTGGTTTGTTTCTCTTTCACAATATGACTAATATGGAAATGTTTTATATGACTGCACATACAAAACCTATATCAAATTGTTTATCCTTTTAGGGAGGAGAAAAGGAGGGAGAAAAATTTGAACTCAACTTAAAAAAAAAAAAAAAGAATGTTAAAAATTGTCCTTACATGTGATTGGAAAAAATAAAATATTATTTTAAAAAAATTCACAGGAAGCTTAGTAGGGTTGCGCCTGTGGACTAGATGGGGCTGGACTTAGAGGCAGGAATGACTTGAGTTCAAATCCTGGTTCAGACACTTATTAGCTGTGTGACCCTAAGCAAGTCACCTAATCTTTCTCAGCCTCAGTTTTTCATCTGTAAAATGGAGGTGACAATAATAGTACCTACCTCTCAAGGTTGTTGTGTGGATTAAATGAACTCACACCTATAAAGTGCTTCGCCAGCTTTAAAGGGCCGTAGAAACCCTAGCTATTGTGATGATAGTCCAACTGAACTAACCTTTTTATCTCTCCTCTCACATGACATTCCTTTTTCCCTCTGCCACACCTTTGCCCAGGCTGTGCCCACACCCTGACTAGACTCCTTCCTCCCCTCCCCCCTCAGACTCTCTCATGCCCTCCAGGCTCAGCCGAAGTACCTCCTCCTCTAGGAGGCCTTTCCTGAAACGGGGGGGGGGGGGGGGGGGGCTGCTCCTGCCCCCTCACAAAAAGGACCTTGGACTGACCCTCACTTGTTTTGTCCACACTATTGTGTGTACTTGTTTTCTCTTCCAAGAGAGGGTCAGATTGTTTTCTGGTTTTTTTTGTGTGTGTGTGAGGCAATTGGGGTTAAGTGACTTGCCCAGAGTCACACAGCTAGTAAGTGTCATGTGTCTGAGGCCAGATTTGAACTCAGGTCCTCCTGACTCCAGGGCCGGTGCTCTATCCACTACGCCACCTAGCTGCCCCAAGAGAGTAAGATTCTTGAGGGCAGAAACTGCTTCATCCTTGCCTTGGCCTCCTTAGTGCCCAGCACAGTGCCTGGGCTAGGCAGAACAGCTGCTTTTAAAATGCTTGTTGACTGACTGACGGTTACACGCAGCAGCCTTCTCCTGCCTAGCCCACTCTTGTCCACTGGCCCGTGTGTGAGCCTCACCTTTGGTGCTCTGGAGACCGTTTTGTTCCATGACTTGGAAAGGTGCGACACAGAAAGCAGATTCGTGATAAAAGAGAAGGCGGCTTTGGGGAAAAACCTGGGTTCATCCAAAGACCGTGGCAATTCCCCAAAGACAATGTGGCCTTTTCTCCTCCCTCTCTTGGACCCGGGGTGCCGCTGCCCTGCTGCATCCATTAAAGACGTACGTGTACACACGTGTGCAGATGCATGTGTACACACGCGTGCACATGTGTCTGCTTGGCTTTTCCTGTGAAGAACATCAGGCTGAATCCTGTTGCGTGGTTATGGGTCTCACTGAGGTGGCTCTGCGACGATCAGGACACATGAGGCTAACGAGGCGGAGGGGTGAGAAAAGTCTCTGACTTTGCCAACGCCCCAGAGAGGTGACCCGGAGGAGGCATCCACAACCATCCCCTCAGCCTGCATTCCCGCCCGGACGGCTCCTCATAAGCACAACCCCACTCGAGGAAGGGCATCCTTGACAGGGACGTGCCCAGGGTGCTGGCAAAGGGTCTCCCCAGCCAGAGTCCCCGTCTTCGCCATCACCCACCAGAGAGAAGGACACAAGGTCTCTTTATGCTGCTGGGCACTGACTATTGTCTCACTGGAGCCCAAGGCCGCCTAAGGGCTTCTCTTCCAACACAGTATCTCACAGGCATACGTCAGAATTACACAAGATTCCTTGAAAGACATAAGAAGAGCTAGCTTGGTTGGATGACTCTCCCATTACTAACATCCAACAAGGGATTACACAGAGATGCCTCAGTCTGCCAGGCTGCAGACTCTGAATGGGCAGCCAGTCGCCCGGCCTTGCCCTGTGAGGCTCTGCAGGTGGACACCTCTAATCCTTAGGAAGTCCTTCTTTTTACCTAAACCGGCCCAAAGAGAGCTAGCATTTGGGGCACTGACTGCTCTCTCTGGGGCTACAGACTGAGTCTAATTCCTCCTTCTCCAGATCAAGGGCTCAGAGGAAACTTCACAGACTCCGCTTTCTGCAGTCAGTGTGCGAAGAGATCGTCCACTCAAACACTAACCATGTCCAGGGAGCAATCAATCCATCAGTGAGTGTTTCTGAAATGCCTATGTGTGCTACACATCATGCAAGGCGCTGGGATAGAATGAAAACCCAACCAGCGACTTCACTGCCCCCCCACGGGCCGCTTGGAAGGTCACTGACACAGAGGTGCCGGGGCGCCTGGCCCCACACCTGTCATCCCCACGCTTTCTCACCCCACCATTGAGCTAGCACGGGGCACAAAGAGCCACCCAAGCAGACCCCGCCCACACAGGTTGGCTTGTGCAATGGGACCACAGGCGTTCCTGCAAGTTGTGAAAGGAAAGAACAGCGCACTGAGGCTGAGACACAGAGGCAGGGGTGGGCTTATTGCCTCCACTCTTCAGGGAGCCTCACGGTCCGTTTTTACACAGAGTCTCCCTTAATAAAACCACTCAGGAAAAGTTTGGGAAATAAATACTTACACAGGTGCCAAGGAGGCTCTTAACATGGTGGAAGCCTGGGAAGAAACAACAGAAGAAAGAGAGCAGGTTAACGTGAATACAAATGAAATAAATACAGGGCGTCCCAAAGGACAGAGTGGGACTTTAAGCTTCAGTAACTTAAAAAACTCCACTAAGACTCTGGACAGCCCGGACAGTCAGCAAACCAGGGAACCGCTCTTCTCCTCCATCAGGCTGCCAGACATCCCCTCCAAGAGGATTCTCCTAATTCAAGGATTATCGCTGGAGGGGAACCATACAAGGAGGTAAGGGACTCCATGAGTTATGTCCATCAGTCTGTAGTCCCCCTAATGAAATGCGTCTTTTGCAAACTCCAGTTTGATATGAAAGAAGAAGTGAATCTGTAGCTGGCACACGGATTTGGATTTGAATCTGTTCTTTTCCCCCAATCTTCCTGAGCTTTTAGAGAGAGGTAAGAGCTTTACTCTATCAAATCAAGTGTATCGTATCTTATTTCTGTGTATTGCTATTACTAGACACCTTTGTAGCATCTCAAAGTTTGAGAATAAAACTACAAATATTTTAAATCACTACAACAAATATCTATTAGGCCTCTATTGCATGCAGCCAGAGCCCTGCATGTGGTGCTGAGGGAGACACAGAGTTTAGACGAGGCACGGCCCTGACTTTGGGGGGGTGTGGTGTGGTGTGGTGTTTACTGGCTAGTAAGGATATATTTATTACACACACACAAATAATAATAATAATAATAAAACATCATCAGTGTATAAGAGAGGTACAAGCAAAGTGCTATAGGAGACCTGACGTAGGAGAAGTTTATATTGATAGGGGATTCAGGAAGACTTCGTGGAAAAGATTGTATTTGAGATGATAAATGGAATTCGGCAGGTAGGATGAAGGCAGTATTTCAGGCATCAGAATGATGTGATGCAAGGCCCATAGGCTGAGATGGACTGTTGTGACTGATAATGCCAAGTGAGAGAATGAACAAAGAGAAGTGACCTTACGGGGCCCGGGAGAGGCCAAGACAAAGAAGAAGGAATGGCAACAGAAAAGGTCAGAAGAACATGGCATCGTGGCTCCCCAAAGGAAGAGAAAATCATCTGAAGGAGGTTACTGACAGCACGGAATGCTGCAGACCAGTCAAAGAGGAGGCCTGGCAAAGAAGCCGGTGGATTTGGGGCTGAGCAGTCACTAGGAGACTTTGGGGAGGGAAATTTTTGTAGCCTGAGCAAGGGAGGGGCCAGACTAAAAGGGGTAGATGAGAGAGAGGGAGGTAAAGCAGTGGAACACCCCAGGGGCTGGGCCTGGAAGAATAAAAATAGAGTCTCGGGCGCTTACTAGCCAGTGCTGGCTGCCTTAGTTTCCCTCAAATGAAAAATGGAGATAACTGTACCTGCCTACAAAGGTTGTGGTAAGGACCAAATGAGACGACAGTTACACTTGGCATGTGCTTGGCACACAGCGGGCACTTCTTGAATGCTCATTCCCTTCCCCTTTAGAGACAGACAACTTCTTGAAAGAAGTTTTGGCTGCGAAGGGAAGGGGTGGGATGGGACAAGTTTGACGGACTATTGATCAACTTTCTCAGGACTCTCAGACCCTGAGCACGTTTGGAGCTTGGTGAGAAAAGGCAACGGAAAGGGGCTCGAGAGGAACGAGGTTTTTAAAAACCCGCTGACATCCAGGCAGCATTTCACAGTCTCTAGCACATTGTTCACTCACTCTTTCATTTCACGGAACTTTGGAGTTTGAAAAGGCCCTCCAAGGTCCAGTCAGAATCCAGACAGGAACCTCCTACATCAGCCCTAACGATCAGCCAGGCTTTGCCTGAAACCCGCCAGTGACAGCGGGGAACCCTGCCCATGCCAGCTCGGGGCAGCCCTCACCACTGGCAGCTTTTTGGGCCATCCTGCCTCCATTTGCCCCTGGCAGGTTTTGCAGGAAAAGGTCCATCCTGTCTCCATACGTCAGACACTTGAGGACGGCCATCCTGGGGCTCTGACCTTGGCCTCAGTTCACGAGGGACCACCTGGCCTCTCTCTTGCAGGGTTTAGGTCAGGCTTTGAAAGTTACAAAGACTGGACAGTCAGGTGCGCCCCCTGGTGGCCATCACTGCCCAGAGCTCTACTCAGGCTCTAGTGAGGCTACAAATAATTCCTTTCAACTCTCCCAAGAGATGCACCCTCTGTGTGTCATCCCATTTTACAGATAGGAGGCAGTACATGATCCTGACCCCACTTAGTAGGGGTTTGGGATTGAGCTGGTTGTTAAGTGAGTGACCAGAGTTCAGGGTAAAAGCCTAGCTAAAGGCGACTGAGGCCCAGTGCTCACCGCAGACCTGGTTCTGAGGGATGGGTGAGTCTAGAATAGGGAGGTGGTTCCTGAGCCCCCTGCCTGGACAGTTCTGGGTCCTGCCATTGACCTTCAGGATCTCAGAGCTGGGAGAGGCCTGGGGCTGTCTGGGTACTATTTGGAGAGTTGTATTAACACAGCCCTTTGCCCACAGGAGTCTCTGCATGGTGGGGGAACTAGCTCGGGAGAAGCCGATGAGCCCCCACCCCGCTCCCCCAGGCCTTGGAGGTGTGTGCCTGTCTGGATGTCCCAAACCTGCCCCTCTCTCTGCCTTTCCAGCAGGGCTATGCCACTCCTTGCTCCCCCACCCTCCGCCCATTCACAAGTCTCTTCATCTTGTCTGCCTCAGTTTCCTCCTCTGCCTGTCCCTCTTCCCTCAGAGCCCCCTCAACTATGTTGGGTACCAGAGCATACCAGACGTGGACACTACTATGCTCCACACTTGGGCCCTAACCTCATTATCTCCTCCAGCTTCTAGCACATAGGGGCCGTTTCAAAAGCATTTTGATGAATGAATGAATGAAAGCTGTTCCTCAGAATCAAACACGGCAGCAGGTTGGGCTAGAGGAAGGTGGGCGGCAGTCTGGATGCTTGTGTGGATTCTGGCCCTTTAGAGGGGTTACAGGCGGAAGGCACAGAGTTGGGGGACTCCTGCTTGACCAAGGAAGGTGCCATGAGAGCTGAGGTGAAGGTGACCCCTCTTGGGCTGGTGAGGGTTAAGTGGAGGGCTCTGTGCCAGGCGGTCTGTGTGATCAGACCTGGTCCGGACCATTCCCTGGGATCTTCTTGCCCACCGTCCTACACTCGCTCTGGACCAAAGAGCATAGAGGAGGAGCAAAGAATCTTTTCCCTACCACACACACTTTCAAGCTTCACTAGGGAACCAAAATCAACTCAATTTTGCCACTGGCCCCAGAACAGGGGCATCCATCCACTTCCCAACGGCTCCACTCTCCCTCTCTGTGACTCCCAGACCAGAACTCAGAGCTCCCCAGGCTACCACTCCCCTATATGCTTGGCCTCGCCCATTACAAGGAAAGAATGTAAATCCTTTTTTTTGTATTTGCTTGCTCAAGGCTGAGAACAGTGCCTGGTACTGAGGAAGCAAGGAATGCATACTTCTTCATTCCTTTATTCACACGGGTATCAGTTGTGGCCGGGCAGATTCTCCCTTGTGCTCTTCCTCAGAAATCAGGTGCTCAGTCTGTGGGTCCAGGGTCCAGGGTCCAGGGCCCAGGCCCCTCTTTCATAGAACGCCCGTTTGGCTGGCTCTAGACCAGGGCCATGAATCGCCATCAGTCATTCATGAGCCGGGTAAATCTTCGTATGAAACACAAGCTGCTCTAGATTCTTCTTTTAGAAACGAGGAGAAATCTGTCTGTTGTTCTCTTAAACAGTCAGGGGTTTAGCAAACACGGCTGACACCCAGCAGGAATATGCCCTTACTTCTGCTAGCACATGATGAAGACTCAAGTTTCCAGGATGGTGGGGCCGTATTTCCCAAGTGGCATGAAGCCACGGCTGCCCTGTGCTGGGACCACGAGAGGCACGAAGCCCGAGGCCTGAGAGAGCCAAGGGAAGGAGGTGGCGACTGGTGTGGTGGTGACAGTGGAAGAGGGGGGAGTCAAGGCGTTTGGTAAGTAAGGTAGGTACTTGGTGAGGAAAAAGAAAGGGAGGAGAGTGGGGAGGGGATCTTGTATCTGGTTTTGTTTTCTTTTTGGACGTTGGTACTGAGAAGTACAGTGAGGAGAGAGATCCCCTCCCTCTACCAATGAATGAAGTTCTGCAGCTCACAGTCTTGAACCCAGGGCCTCCTGACCTGAGGAAGGCAGGCTCTCTCCATTCCTCATTCTCTGTGGCCTTGGGTCAAGTGAGGAAGCATTTGAGTGAAAAATCGAGGGACGGATGAGGAGGACTGAGCATGTCAGGGTCTACTACAGATACCCCCTGGACAGAAAGGAGAACAGGGGGGCCTTCTGTAAAGCAAGGCTAAGCCTAGCACACAGCTCAGGTGTGCTGATGGCGGCCTCAATCATGCAGACACTGGCCAGGCTCAAAGCACTTCTTGGCTTACTTCATCCTTCCAAGAGGCCGGGAAACCAACAAGGGAGAATTCGGATCTGGATCCAATTCTCACCAGCCCGGAGAGGCTGAGCACTGTGACAGAAAGGGAGGGAGCGTTTAAAGAGCCATAACTGCCCCCTCCTCCAGAGGAAAGTCAGGGCTGCTCTGACATGCCCCCTGGACCTGGAGAGCAAGAATCTCAAAGGGCTCTGCGGAAGACATCAGCCAGGAGGGATGAGGGCTACTCAAGAATAAAATCCTGATAAGAACTCACTATTTGACAAAAACTGCTGGGAAAACTGGAAAAGAGCATGGCAAAAAGTTGACATAGACCAAAATCTTACACCACATACCAAAATAAAGTCAAAATGGGTTGATGATTTAGATATAAAGGCTGATACTGTAAGCAAACTGGGAGAGCAAGGAATAGCTTACCTGTCAGATTTATGAAGAGCAGAAGAATTTATGACCAAACAGGAGATAGAGAACATTATGAAATGCAAGATAGGTAATTTTGATTACATTAAATTGAAAAGTTTTTGCACAAAGTCAATGCAACCAAGATTAGGAGGGAAGCAGAAAACTGGGAAAGAATTTTTACAATCCGTGTTTCTGA